TTGTATAGTTGGAAGGGACCCCAAGGGTCATCTAGTCCAACCCTGTGCAGTACTAAAGCATTCATGACAGATGACCATCCAACCTCTGCTTAAAAACCTCCAGTAAAGGAGAGTCCTTTCCACTGTCAAACAGCTTTTACTGTCATAAAGTTCTTCCTGAAGTTTAGTCAGAAGCTCCTTTCTTGTCACTTGAAACCATTGGTTCAGATTCTACCCTCCAGAGTGGGAGAAAACAATCTTGCTCCATCTTCCATGTGACAGCCCTTGAGATGTTTGAAGATTGCTATTGTATCTCTCCTCTCAGTCTCCTCTTTTCCAGGTTAATCATACTCAGTTCCCTCAACCATTCCTCATAAGGCTTTGATTCCAGACCTTTGATCTTCTTGGTCGCCTTCCTCTGCCCACGTTCCAGCTTGTCAGTATCTTCCTTAAATTGTGGCACCCTGAACTGAGCACAGTACTCCAGGTGTGGTCTGATCAAGGCAGAATAGAGTGAGACTATCACTTCCCTTAATCTGAACACTGTACTTCTCTTGCTGTGTTGTTTCTTGGTGTCAACTCCTAACTGCTATACTGAGTTGCTGCTCTGTTGTGCATAAACAAGCACAACTACTCAACTTCTCTTGACTCCAGCTGCTTCCTGTTATTAGGGCAGATCCACTGCAAGGTTTCCTCGTATATTGCCCTTCCCCAAACCCACAGGATGCTACAGAGCTTATTGCATTAATAGCTGGCCACCAATTTGGCAGCCAATTTGTCCTGCCAAAGGGAATTGGCTTCCCGGCCTAGAAAATCGTTCAATAATTTGTGTACTGGGTTGCTTCAAACAGGATTAGGAACACCAAAAGTCCAGTAAGACTCTTTTGCCTTATATTTGATGCCTGTTTTATGCCCTGCTTTTTCCTATGCAAAAATCACAAACAGAATTGTTCTCCTGCTCTGCATGTACATGGTTGACTTCATGAAAGCGTTGTATTCTTACATAGCTTCATCACACCCAAAGATCTTCATAATACAGTGGTGCCTCGCAAGACGAAATTAATTCGTTCCACGAGTTTTGTCGTCTTGTGATTTTTTTCGTCTTGCGAAGCACGGTGTCGGGAAAGTTTTGGAAAAGCTTCAAAAATCACCAAAGTCTTTAAAAACCTCAAAAAGGCTACCACACCGCGTTCTATGAGTTGCTCCTCGAAGTCAAGTCGCAACTGTATTAACGGTGTTAAGAAAAAGGAAACAAACTTGCAAGACGTTTCCGTCTTGCGAAGCAAGCCCATAGGGAAAATCATCTTGCGAAGCAGCTCAAAAAACAAAAAACCCTTTCGTCTAGTGAGTTTTTTGTCTTGCGAGGCATTCGTCTTGCGAGGTACCACTGTATATTGAAGGCAAATGGGATCCCATGTCTCCTTCGCCTCTTCCTCAGCCCCTTAATGGATACAGTTCACACGAATGCTCCTTGACGTTTGCTCATTTACCATTGTACTTGACTTTATTAAAAGCTATGCTTCTGCCAGCTTGTCAAAACAGTTCCTCTTCAACCCTTTGGATGGTGACAAAATTGAACAGCAAATTGGCCCAAGACAAGTGTAAGCATCTCTTCAAACATCTCTTGTTCTCCTGTGTTCTGTGATGTGATACGCCGGCAACTTTAGCCATGGTATTTAGCAGGAGGATTTTCATGCTTTCCCCAGTAAAAATATAAAAGGAAGAGGCGCAATAAAAGTAAATCACGGGCATACCCAATTACCTTACTTATTGACTTTTCCCACATCTTGGGCAATTGCTATATTTGCCTTTTCTTAGAAGGATGGCTACAAAGCTTCTTAGTGAAGTGACATCTCTGGGGATGCAAGAAGAAGAGATACAACAAGGCAATTTTCATTCCCTGCTAATTTGTAAGTGAGCCGGAAGCACCATTGGTATCTAGAAGAGCTCAGCACCTGAAAAAATTGCCATATATTGTTACAGATGTCCATCATAGTGTTTGACATAAAGTTGACAGGTGAATGCAAGGAAGGAGGGCACTGCCCACGGGGGGAAGGCCCATGGAGGAAATGTGATTTGTATGACAGTTTTGAAGGGGAGAAGAATAAGGATGCCACAAATATCTGTGGGCTGCTGGATATTGTAGCTCTGTGGGGGTGCCAAAGCAGCTTTGAGCATTTTGCCTTTCTCTAAAGCTAGGCGTGGACATCCGGTAGCATCAACACTGGAACTGAATAAAAATAAACCAAGCCAGCAACTATTTTATGGGGGCCAAGGGTGGGCAGGATCTCTGGTAATTTAAGCCGCATGGAGGCAGTTCAAAACAGATCTTTGTGATCCTTGCTACTTCCACCCTGTTGGCTAAAAATTATCTTTAAGTCATGATACTTTCCTAGGATAGCCTTTGAGAAAATAAGCAATCACTTTGGGAAGTGGCTAAGTGGCTTGTCTCATCTCTAGTGGGGAAATTAAAAAAATTCTGTATTATTTATAAAGCGTTGTGGGGAGATGAAGCATGTGAAAGAGTTTTCGAAGCAATGACCGTTGGGTTCCTCTCTTCCTAGGGATGCAGCAGCTATACCAGTTTCTGAACCACTGCCATTCTGCACGAATTTCCCTTGTGTTCCTCAAAGGGCTTGCAAGAATTCAGAGAGAGGGTGTCCTTTGCTAACCTTCAGTTGAACCCAACACCTCCAGCTCTTTTAGAAGGAGGAGGCAACAATAGGACATATTCTGAGCAGGGTTAGGCCAGCACATTTCGCTGCCTAATGCAAAGGACAAATGAATACGTCTGCCCTGTTTTGCCACCTAAGGTGAAACAGGAAGGTCCCGTCTGCCCCCCGTTGAAGCCCCGCTTACTAGGGTTGTGCAGTGGCAGCTTCTGGCAAGATCTCTTCTGCAATCTTGTTGGAAGCAGACGCTTGCTTCTTCTCATTTCTCTAACGATTGTGGAAGGGGTGGGTGGATTGGCCACCAGGTGCCACCTCATGGGATTTCAGTGCCTGAGGTGGCTACCTCAATCCGCTTCCTGGACCAGTCGGGCCTCCCTCACCATTCCATGTACAGAAGCTGGATGAACTTGGTGGATAACTTGGATCTTATGTCAACATTGGCAATAGAGAAGTAGGTAAAGGTAAAGGTACCCCTGACCATTAGGTCCAGTTGCGGACGACTCTGGGGTTGCACACTCATCTCGCTCTATAGGCCGAGGGAGCTTGCATACAGCTTCCGGGTCATGTGGCCAGCATGACTAAGCCACTTCTGGCGAACCAGAGCAGTGCAAGAAAACGCCATGTACCTTCCTGCCAGAGCAGTATCTATTTATCTACTTGCACTTTGATGTGCTTTCGAACCGCTATGTTGGCAGGAGCTGGGACCGAACAATGGGAGCTCACCCCATCGCGGGGATTTGAACCGCCAACCTTCTGATCGGCAAGCCCTAGGCTCAGTGGTTTAGACCACAGCGCCACCCGCGTCCCTGCAATAGAGAAGCACCTTCCACCAAATCTGAAGATACACAACTCTAACCAAAGGGTACACCCAGGTGGCTGCTGACCTCCAGCAGCTGCAGCTTGAGGCGGTTGCTTCACCCTGCCTAATGGCAGAGCCAGCACTGTTTCTGAGCATACCTCTCCCTGTAGTAGCAAGCTGAAGATCTGTCACACAGTACTGCATACTGCCCTTCATCTAATGTCACGAGAGTACAGTATTTGGGTCACATTTTAAGAAGATCTATAAAGAGGTCAGTCTAAGAGACTACAATCTATCTGCTGTGTGGAAAAGAGAGATACACAATTGTGAAGACCAACCACACATTTTCTCACTGATGTTACTGAGTTATTATTATTTTTTTAAAAAGGAGAATGGTGTTTACTGTCATGGAGATTTCAAGTTTGTCTATATCTTTTACATACTGGTAATTGCATTCTGGTTTCTTGTTCTTTTTATTTATGTCAACTCGTGAGATATTTATATAGCTCTGTGCAATCTATTTGGTTTGCAAAGTGTTTGTTTTGTAATGGGATGATGATCAAATAAATAAATCTGAATCTGATGCCTGTTACAAGATAAATTATGAAATGAAATTGATAGGATGGAGTTCAAAAGGTCTGTGCTGTGCTTTCTGTTGCCTGTGCAAATATTGCACTCCAGTGGAATTAAGAGAAATTGCAAGCTCTTTTTTATATACTGAATTCTAACCTTCCATATCTGTATCTATCTATCTATCTATCATCTATCTATCTGCTCTTTGCATTGTTAAATTATATCTAGCATTTTCCTCACCCCACTAATTCACCAGAAGTCTGCATCAAAAATAAGTGAAAAGACTGGCAGCTCTATCTTTAAATCCACTTTAAAATACATTTGATGTAAATATTGGCTTGCACTGATGTTGTCCTATTGGCATCCTCTTAACTAAGCCCCAAAAAGTTGCTCAGCTTTGCTTAAAGGTATGAGACAAGGTAAGTCTGTGATGGATTTTGGGTGGCATTAAGAGTAGCAGAGTAGGATAAAGACAGATCTAAGCTGTCTAGAAAGTTTCCCCTTCATTCATCAGTAGTGTGCTAAATGAGTTGTGCATTTTACCTGGAGAGATGCAATTTCAAGCTGCTAGATCTCAAGATCTTTTACTCCTTATCTTAGCTCCCTCACTGCTCGCAAACCCATTACTAAGGTTTTGTCAAACAAGCATTTTCCTGGAAGAAATTTGCACAGAAATGGGTGCTAAACTTCTGCTTCATTCTGCTGGATTTCCAGAAGATGCTCTTACATCATGTGAAAGATCATAGAACAAAATGATGAGGTAAAATGGGGTAAATGGAATAAAAAACTGCCTGGATGCAGCCCAGGAGTGAGACCTTGGGCTCAAAGTGGGTAGGTCGAAGAGGATGTTAACTCTGTGTGTGGCAGGCAGCTGTGAAACAGGCAAATTCCATGCTAGGAATAATTAAGAAATGAATGGAAAATAAAACTGCTGATATCCTATTATACATGGTGTGAAGGCAGTAGATATCAGGATGAAGAAAACTCACCAATACACTCTCTCTCTCTCTCTCTCTCTCTCTCTCTCTCTCTGTGTGTGTGTGTGTGTGTGTGAGAGAGAGAGAGAGAGAGAGAGAGAGATTAGATGCCGTCCAACCACATTGAATTATGATATTTGCTCATACAAATTCATCCCCTGTTCACAGCTTGTAATTAAGTCAGGACTTTTTTGTGGATAGAACAATCCCAAGAATATTATAAGAATTTAATAAATTGAGGAAAAAACAATTACAGGGGAAAACAGAAATATGGCAGAAAAGAAAGTGTTAGAGTACAAGGCACATCTATTGTTATGGAAAACAAAACAACAACAATCTTAGAATTGTATAGCATGAATGACACAGCTTGTTCATTCAAGTTCTCCAAGCTAGAAGATGGCTATACATTTAGTTTTCCATGTACAGGGAGTTGGTGTTTTTAAACAACAGAAAATGAGGGTGCAGTCAGTCATGGGTTTCTCCTACCAGTCTAAGAAAAGTCTTACCCCCTTTTTCACTGGTATAGTCCTCAAACAGGGACTGGGCAATCTTGTATTTCATAAATTGCTTTTTGGGAAGGACTATTGTGTTTGAAAACCATGCCAGAGAGATGGCCAACATTCAGGCCTTCCCCTTTGTGTGATTTTCTTATTCCTTCTTCCTTCCTTCCTTCCTTCCTTCCTTCCTTCCTTCCTTCCTTCCTTCCCAGTGGCGTAGCGTGGGGGGTGCAGGGGGGGCCGGCCACACCGGGCGCAACATCTGGGGGGGGGGAGAGGCGCTCGCACTCGCAGCTCTCTGCCCCCTGCTAAAATCCACGGGTTAGGGGGCGTAAATTACTTGCCTTGCCCCGGGTGCTTACAACCCACGCTACGCCACTGTTCCTTCCTTCCTTCCTTCCTTCCTTCCTTCCTTCCTTCCTTCCTTCCTTCCTTTCTTTCAGCTTTCATATTGATGTAATATTCACAACTGGTGCTTAGATATGCAGATTAAAAGAATAAAGTAGCTGTACAGCAGCGAAGACTTTTATCCCGAATTTCTTCCATTGGGTGGATTCAGTTCAGTAGTTCAGCCTTTTCTCTTACATTGTGAAAAATTGGCCTTATTTTATGCCTAACGAGGCTACCCACTAAGCTGGTTCATTGGAGCTATTCATTGGAGCTATCTTTCAAAGGAAGAGATCATACTTTTTGTGATCCAAATGCAGGAAACATATGGGGGCATCTTCAGAAGTTGACTTTTTCCTCTTCCACTACTGTTCTCTTGGATGTTTGTTTAAAATAGGCAGTTAACTATACTTCCAGTATTCAAATTTAGGGTGGAAGTGGAGGGGGGATTCAACTTTTTGTCCCACTGTGATCCTGAGCACCTCCTTAGCCCCCCACCATGGTTGATATTTACTTAATTCAATGCAGCTGCTAAACGCATGAATGTCAAATCTAGTTCTGCTCTATGGCTAGGACCGAAGGTCTGCTAAGGTCAGCCGGAAAGGCCCTTACAAACTTTTATAGCATTCAAATATGCAATTCCAAAGCCTGAAATTGACAGGGAAAGTGCATACTGTTGTACCTTGGTTTTCAAATTTAATCTGTTCCGGGAGTCTGTTCGACTCCCAGAACAGTTCAAAAACCAAGGCGCGGTTTCCGATTGGTTGCAGGAGTGTCCTGCAGCCAACTGGAAGCCACTGAAGCCATGCCGGACGTTCGGCTTCTGAAAAGCATTCGAAAATCGGAACAATCACTTCCGGTTTCTGATCGTTTGGGAGCTGAAATGTTTGAGTTCAAAGGCGTTCGGCTTCCGAGGTTCCACTGTACGAAGTGGTACCTCTAGTTACTAACTAAATTTGTTCCAGAGGTCCGTTCTTAACCTGAAACTGTTCTTAACTAGAGGCGTGCTTTCGCTAATGAGGCCTCTTGCTGCCACCGCGCCGCCTGCACATGATATCCATTCTCATTCTGGGGCAAAGTTCTCAACTCAAGGCAACTCTTCCAGGTTAGCGGAGTTTGTAACCTGAAGCGTTTGTAACCTGAGGCGTTTGTAACTGGAGGTACCACTGTTGTCAATTCTTGTGCGCCCTGTGACACTTAATTGCAATTCCCATGTGCTTTAGCCTATTTATATTTAGCATTAAGGTACACCAGTGATGCAGGGGACCCGGGTGGCGCTGTGGGTTAAAGCACAGAGTCTAGGACTTGCCAATCAGAAGGTCGGCGGTTTGAATCCCCGCGACGGGGTGAGCTCCCATTGCTCGGTCCCTGCTCCTGCCAACTTACCAGTTCGAAAGCACGTCAAAGTGCAAGTAGATAAATAGGTACCGCTCCAGCGGGAAGGTAAACGGTGTTTCCATGCGCTGCTCTGGTTCGCCAGAAGCGGCTTAGTCAAGCTGGCCACATGACCCGGAAGCTGTACGCCAGCTCCCTCGGCAAATAAAGCGAGATGAGCACCACAACCCCAGAGTCAGTTACGACTGGACCTAATGTTCAGGGGTCCCTTTACCTTTTACACCAGTCATGCACCCTCCTTGACTGCTGGTTGTTGGTGTAGTAATGCTACAGGCACATGAGCCAATGGATGTGGCAGCTGCATTTCAACTTGATGCGGTGGGTTTGTAATGCTTGCATTGCCATGCACTTTGCCTGTGGCCCACCTCACATCCATGCATGCCAGCCCTAAACTCTTGTCCATAAGAGACAGTGCTTACTTCGTCTCGGAAGGAATGAAACAGCTGCAGTCAATTGGCAAGGGGCGGTGATGTGCAGGGACGATCCCAAATGATATTCAGATTTTAAATAGGCTTATTTGCCAGATGCTGGGTTGAAGGTGGACCCCACTTAGCGCAGCTGCCATATTGTTCTGTAATCATCGTTCCTGGTGCTCTTTTTCTTCAAGGCCCACATTGTTTAAGAGGAACGATCGAAACATTTCCATACCATGATAATAATTAGCAGATGTTATTAATTTATAGTAAAGACAATAATAAGCCAGCCCGCACCATGAAAGACTTCATTATGAAATTAATTACTCCGATTGGGGTCAACATGAGAGGTGAGGTTTGCACAGCATTTAAGGAACAATTGCTTTTTATGGGTATTCTGCAACCAAAGACGTGAAATTTGAAGGATGTGTTTTGCATTTATCGGCCCCTGTCTTCGCATTCATATGCTAAGTCCCCTGATAAACACCACTTGTCTCAAAGAAAATTGAAATCACTGAATTGAAGCAGATCTGGATAATGAGGTATTATAGATATATTCGGTAAATGTTCCAATTATTCTTTAGAAATTTCATTGAAATAAACAGCAGCCGCAGGGGGAAGGGTGTGTGTGTGTTACAAAGTCAGTTTTAATCTTTCAATGGCTGTTGTTTTTCTCCCCCCCACCCACCCTTAATAGACACGAATGGGGTTTGATTATAGTTCTTTTTGTGAATTCAGGGCTGCTCCCTTTGTCTCATTCCTCTTCAGCATTCAGCTCTCTTTCGGAGGTTGCTTCCCCTCTATGTAGCAGACACCTGCTTCCAATTCATTGCCTCTAAATAGATCTTAATGTGGTTTTGTATCCCTGTGCCTCCAATGTTTATATATCCTTTTGCAGCAACTGCTGAATTCATAAAAAGGAGCAGCAGGGAGGGCAGGGCAGGAGGAAGGCTGCTGTCAGAATTGCTGCCGATGCAGAAGGGGCGTTGAAGATGCCTGAAGGCAAACTTGCCTCCAGTTTTAACTGGGAGACCATTTGCCCAGGCAAGAAGCCCCAGACCCTGTGGACACACAAGCATCTTGTGCTACCTAGGCCTAGCGCTCACTAAGACGTCTCCAGGGCCTGGGGCTGTTTCCCCTCTCCCTCTTGGTGCCATATGCCCAGCGGGGCAGTAAGGGAGAGAGAAGAAAGAACTTTAATGTCCATAACTTGCTATGTTTGTGTGCATTGTGCATGGAAACTAGTGGAGGTCTGCATTTGCGTGACGAGGACCCCCAAGACACCCCTGAATAAAAACACGTTCACACATCATTTTCGTTTTGGTTTTTGGCATAATTTTGGCCACAACTTTATTGAATTATAGTAAGTGAGTGGTTGCTTAGGCATTGGTTAGTGGCTATCTGTTCCCACTTGGAGGTAGGAACAGAACTGACAACCACACCCGTGTGGAAGTCAGTAAGGGTAAGCAATTTTGGGGAGAGAAAAAGCTGGGTGCCAGGCTCTCCCCTCTCCCCAAATGCTCCCAGGGGCTCTTGCGTGGCCCTAGCCCTTTGCCAGGGATTCGGACAAAAGCATGGTGAGCCCCTGGATTCCTTTAATGGAATACCCTTGCAGTAGCAGCATTGGAGGGGCAGGCACAGCCAACCTCATCCCCTCCACCAACCAAAAAATTAACCAATGCCTAACCGCAACTTACAAGTTGTGACGATTTGCTACACAGTAGGCAAAACCCAAATGGCATCAGCCAATCAGCCAAATGGTAAAATTCCTACCAGGCCCCTGCTCCAAAGCAGACGATCCCTTGACAGGTCAGCGCGAACAAACCCTAAATAAAAGGAGGGTGGGCGGGTAATCCGATGTGCGCAGTGAAAAGAAGAAGCTCAACGCTGTGCACAGGGACCTATATAGCACTCCCATCAATCAAATAAAATTGCAACAATCAATTTTCCCCAGCAACATTGGAGGTGCCCAGTCAAATCCGTGGCCAACCAAACTAACCTGCCCAGCAACAGGGAATGTCATGGTTGCTCCCACCACAACACGTGCTCTCCATGAAGGAGAACCCGCTTTGCAGAATGTCTGTTCCGCAAAGAACTGTGGCAAGTGCAGAAGGTGCTTAAACAGCTGAAGTTGGGGGGTGGGGACAGGTTGGAGTCTTTGTTTCAATGTTTCTTTTAATGACAGACTCATCTCTGGGAGTCTTGGTCTCTCTCAGAAGCCACCAGCATATTGAGGAAGCAACTGGATCATCCAAGTCTCTCTCTGGGATCAGAGAGAGTATAGTTCTTGGACTATGCTAAGAAGAACCTAAAGAAAACTGGACTGCATTGCTAGTTGCTTAAGAGCTGTGTGTTGATTCCTGCATTGCCTGGCGTTGGACTAGACTCTTCAGTTCTATGATTCCATGATTTCAATTTACAACAGGCTTT